AGAGTCGACTTTCTGGACGTGACATTGGACCTGACCACCGGAAAGTACTGCCCTTACCGGAAACCGAACGACAAGCCGATGTACATCAACTGCCAGTCAAACCATCCACCTACAATCATCCAGAACCTACCTGCATCGATCAGCAGAAGACTAACAGATATTTCCAATGATGAAGACGTCTTCATAGATGCGACTCCGATCTACAGTGACGCGCTGAGGAAGAGTGGATACCGGGAGAACGTACAGTATTTTGACGAGCGTAAAACGGACGAGACAAAGAAGAAGAAGAAAAGGAATCGCCCTCGGAACATCATATGGTTCAACCCACCATTTAGCAAGAACGTCGCCACCAACGTTGGACATCGCTTCCTCCAGCTAGTGGCCAAACACTTCCCCAAAGGCTCAAGCCTCAACAAAATCTTCAACCGGAACTCTGTAAAGGTTAGCTACAGTTGCATGCAGAATATGGCCACTATCATCAAGCAACACAATAACACGATTCTACGACCCAAGAAACAAGCTAACGGAGGTGACAACGATACCAGGACTTGTAACTGTCGGGCGAAAGACTCGTGTCCAGTGGACGGAGCGTGTCTAACGGAGAGTATCGTATATAAGGCAAGAGTCACCGCAGGTATGGAGAAGAAGGAATATACTGGATTAACAGCAACAACATTCAAACAACGCTACTATAACCACCAATCCTCATTCCGCCACAGACAACACGAGAAGGACACCCGCCTATCGCAGTACGTCTGGACCAAAAAGGATGAAGGGAAGGCATGCAGCATTCAATGGGCGGTACACCGCAGAGCAGCGGCCTACAGCAACAAAAGCAAAAGGTGCAACCTGTGCCTGGCGGAAAAATTGGCAATCGCGCAAGCACCCAAGCACCTCTCTCTAAACAAAAGGAGTGAGCTTGTGTCGAAGTGTCGCCATGAGAATAGGTACTACCTTCGGAACTTTAAACCAGCTACAGCCATCACCTAATTAAGTAAGAGACAACAAGCTCCAGTGGTTGTCACCTTTCACCACTTGCTGTCATTCACGCTTTGCACTGCCGCTATTTACACTTTGCTTTGTGAGGATATAAACCAAAACTGATCCAGATTTCCAATTACTGTTTTCTGATGATCGCTTAGTGCGTGAAACTCTGAGTAAAAACACTTCCTCTGTCCTCCTATTGTTTTATAATTATGTACATGTACATGTAGTTGTAGTGCTGCTTTCTCGCTCGCTTCGCCTTCTGACCTACATCATACATGATTGTACATGTACATGTACAATGACTATGTACAATGTACATGTAGATCTACCGTGTACCAATGGTATTAGTTACTATAACTGTAGTACAAAGTCAAACTCAAAGCAAGCAGTCACACTCAGCCGCCAAGAACGAAGCGAGCACCAGAGTCGTCAGTACCGCCGGTATTATTATTTTTTTAAAGTTTCGTTTGGAATGAACTTTCGCCATATTCATTACTGACGTTAGGGCAGTAGAGGGCACGAAATAACTTTACAAAAATGTTGTGATAGACCGCGACCAAAAAGCTTTTTTTATTCCAGAAAGAAGCTACATGTGTCATGACCGGGGAGTGGGCCAGACATACTATCAGGATTCTTCCAGGTTCTTTACGGAAATATACCAGGAGTCCAGATACCCATTCCTCACCCTCACCACACAAGAAGACCAAAGCTTCACTCTAGGACCAAGTTCCAAGCAATCGAGAAGCAACAAGAACAACAACCAGCACCGATCGACGCAAAGCATCGGCCTATAATTATACAGGTCGTCCCTCGTTAATACATAATCTCTGGGACTTGACAAATGTTATGTATTAACGGGGTTTATGTACTAAACGAAAGTGTACATAACTTGCTTGTATACCAGAATTTTTCACTTTTTTCAACTTTTCTGAGTGTTTCTTGCTGCCATGACTAGGGAGCGAGATATTCTTGATTCCCTCGATATAACATAAAAATTATGTTATAACGGTCACAGTCAGCGAAGATTCTACAGTTTACATGATACATGTACATGCCCAGCGGCGCCTGTACAGTCACTCGAAAAAACAAGAGCTTTGTCGGTTTGTGATGTGCGCTCTGATTTCTGAGCTAATTGCGTCCACAAGTAGAAACTAGAACACGATGTGCGTCCACTGGAAGGCCAAAAGACCAACAAATTATATACTATTGAGGTAGGTGGCATGCGGGTACGGAGAAATGTTATGTACTAACGGGGTTTATGTACTAACGAATTATGTACTAACCGACACAATTTGTATGGAAGTGACCACGTTTCGTCCGGGACTTGAGATTTCTTATGTACTAACGGGGTTTATGTACTAACCGGACTCGTATTAACGGGGGACGACCTGTACTGCTTTTGATAATATTATGACTGTACTAGTACTAGTAGTAGCGTGCAAGCTGAAGGAGCGAAGCGAGCGAGCAGCCAGCACAGCATGAATAGTGATAGGTTTCCCAACGCTATTCATAGACGAGACACATCGACGCCACGGCAAACACTTGACAAAGATACATGTAGGAGCAGACGGAATACAATACAGATGGCAACACACGGACACGACACATGTACATGTACATGTACCAGTACATGATTGTACATTTGCGTGAACTATAACAAGGTTTATCTAATACTGGTTTTCTAACCAGAAGTCATGAATAAAACCATTTCTACGTACATTGTGCATGTAAAATTAATAATACAGTGGTCCCTCTATAATCCGGCACCATTTGTGCCACGGAAATCTGCTGGATTAGGGAGGGTGCTGGATTAGGGAGGGTGCTGGATTAACAAATCTGATCTACTGCTAGCTGCAATGTGCATGAAGAGGACATTTGGCTACTGAAAATAGTGCTGGTTTATAGAGGGTGCTGGTTTATAAAGTGCCGGATTAAAGAGGGACGACTGTATTACCATTTACCACGGGTCCGGAATTAGGGGCCACAGGCATAGGGATACTCGTACATACCAGGCGCAAGGCCAGACTTTGCCGCAAAGTAGATTTGCGGCTGCACAAGTGTTTTTTTTCAGTAGTGCTGAATGGTTCACAATCACATGTCATTCCAAACAACATCTACATGTACATGATTGTATAATGTAATTTTACATTGTATGCACACACAGACTGTACTGGTAGTGATAGCCAGAAAGTAGACGTACATATACACGTACACGTACACTATACAAGGTACGTTTGAGCTGAAAGGAACGTTTGATGTGAGTTGAGAATTTGTGGAACACTTGGGGAAATTATTCATATTGAATGTGTTTATTTTGCCCGTTAAAGAGGCTGTAAAATAATGTTCACCGTGACGTACAATGTACATGTACATACATGTACATGTATATTGTACGTGTGCTGTATTCACTGGATGTATCTCCACGTACATGTACATGTAGGTTATTTATATTGAAGGCTGTACTGCTCCCTTTCCTCTGTTATTTACCATGGTATTGGTGCACCACCACACTTCTCACACTTCTTGTGAGTTCCCTTCGGGAACGGATACGATAATTTACTTACTTACTTACCACACTTCTTATACTATCTTTCTACGCCATGGCTGGCAAACGCCCCCTCCTCATCTACATGTATATTGGCACTGATTCATCTTTAGCCACTGGAAGGTGTAGTAATAATAATAATAATAATAATAATAATCCTCCCTACCCAATCTCCTTGGCTTTGGTGCGTCCATGGAGCTATGAAACCGAGACCTCTGGTCGGCGGAGCTTAATTTTTGGCCCCCACCAACACACTCCATTATTCACCCCAGTGTCTGGAGATACATGTACATGATTGTACAGTACATGTACGTGGATTTTGTAGAGAAAAAAGACTTACTAGGTCAAGTAGGTGCTGTCTATCAACTGTCGCGTGTCGAGCATGTCGTGTGCGTGCTGTTTGTGTGCACTCTGTGGTCATGGTGGTACTCAGGTACTGGTACTAGTGTGGGTCGCGGCAGGCCGCCGGTACGCGGTGTTTGCTAAAGACCTTCATCTATCCGATCAACGGCCACATGCACAACACGTAAAGCGAAGTGGGCAGTATACTGCATGCACCCTGCATGCAGAGTGCAGAGGGCAGTCAAAAAACATAAAAAGTCATGTGTAGACCTACCACTGACTGAGTAGTACCAGTGAACCTAGTACCTGCGCTCAGCTAGTACACCAAGTACACTGTACTTGTTGTACTGACTGTAAAGTACGTATCTAATATTGACTGGGTACGAGGTCAATAGGAAATAAAAGCCGAGTAAAAGACCGAGGCGAAGCCGAGGTCTTTTACGAGGTTTTTATTTCCTATACTGACCAAGTACGAAGTCAATATTGGATTTATCACGATAAACAGTCCGTATTTCAAATTCCAGAACGATAACCTCATGAATCCCGGTTTTATGATTGCACAACCGTTGGACCACCACCTACTGATGCAGTGACAATGCTGCACTAAGCACCGTTCAACTGCCCAACCCCTAAGCAGTCAAATATAAGCAGTCAATATAGCCCTAAGGAGTGAAATATGCAGGAATATTTGACTGCTTTAATAGGTATAGCGAAAATCAATGGGAGTCAATACTAAGGGAGTGATAAAATGTAACATTAGTTGTAGACAGTCTGTTCGTGGGCAAGTGTGCACATCTGGGCTGACCTCGCTGCAGAGTGCAGTCGGGCCCAGCAAATGAGAGGTTATTGTTGCCCTGTTGAGTGTGTGTGGGCTGTTCATGTACTTGCTAATGTGTGACCTACAATGAATAACTCATTTCCATTGTTGAATGGAGTGGGCATCGCCCGGCCTGTCCACGCCGCACTTCGCCATGCTTGACTGTAGCCTTGGTAGGTCATGCCTACGCCAGGCTATGTATGGTGTAGATCTGCATAGATCTACTGCCTAGTAGACCTACTGCTCTACTGGCTTCAGCTCCAGCCGGTAATCCACGGATGTGCGCATCAACGCGAACGACTGCACAGCGCATGCAGGCTGTTATGTGTATCACTAGAGGAAGGAACTCATTCAGCAAAGAACGAATTGCAGCGCTGTAGAGTCGCCTTTCTTCTTTTACTGTGCGTGTTGAGATTATTTTTTACAGGCCTGTGCTTAGCATTCTGTCGTTGTGTGCGCTTGAGAAGCAGAGATTTGCAGCTTTACTGCAGCGACGTGACGTGGACGATAAAACCCTACGCTCGTGAGTGCGCCCTGCTCCCTTTTCGCCGGACAGTGTTCTTTGTCTTGATAGCGCGATAACATGGCCCGATCGTTAGTATTAGCCGTGATGCTGGTTGCCCTGGCCCTGTCGTGGAGCAGTAGGGCGAATGCCCAAGAAGGCTTCATAACCGGTAAGTTATTTCTCTTGTTTTGTCTCGCCGATGCGTGTAGGTTTCCGTGCCTGTTTAGTTTTGTGCTTTCGCTGATGGTCGAGAAACACGAAATAGTCGTTAGCGTGTTTCCTGCAACAGGAATTCTCGAGTACACGTCGTGTATTTTTAGACGTACTGCTGCTGTACTGAGTAGTTGTGCATCTCGTCGCTCGCACTTACTTGTAACGTTGTGTGACGTGATTGGGAAATGTGGTCGGCGTTGCGGGCAGGAACTGTCAGATTCCAGGCGCAAGATGTAAGTCCTGATCAAGATCAGCTGATCTCGCGAGCGCGGGGATTTTGAACAGGAGGCTTTGCTCGTCCGCGTTTCCAGACATCAAGCGAGAACTACATGACGACCTTGTCTAATGAGAAGGCAGTACACTGTGTCCTGCCTGTCTGTCGGGTGAAGTAAAAACTAAAACAACAACTAACTATTACTTAATATAGTCTGTCTCATTTTGTCCTGAGATGTTTTGATGCATAGTGATTATGACGCTCATCATTCGCTCCCTTGTCACTGGACAGTTCTGTCCGTTTGGTTTTAGCGAATTCAAATAAAGAAAACAACAAACAACAACAACTTTGGGGAAAGGTTTCAGAGCGGACCCGCTCTCTTCCCATTCACTCTGCAAACTCGAACTCGTTTCTCAAAATTACATCGTTTCGGCAAATTGCCCTCATCAGGTTACTTGAACAAGAAACGATATGCTACCCGCCGGTACCCAACTCCTCAGTCCTCAGTGAGTTAGCTTTCTAAAGGAAAGATCAGTGCTTGATCCGACACACTGGTTGTTGAATTGCGACACCATCGCAAGCGACCATCCTCAACTCCTCTTCGAATTCCATGGGGTTAGAATTCCATAGACACCTAAGTCAATCCCTCCGTTGTAAGATAAGCCAACGCAACAGGCCATTCGCAGTGAAGTCAACCGCCGACACTAGCCAGAGGGAAACGCCATATCGGTTGAATGGAGGTTTACAAGTCAAGTGCATGTCCTTTCTCGGGCGTCTTTTATGAAAGACAAAAAAGTATTCGTTTCTTCCTATTTATATCATGGCCAATCTGGCCCATCCGTCGTCACCTTTCCGCAGCGACAGAAATGACACGTGTAGATCTACTAGTTATATGCAGATGAAGCACGCACAACAGTCATGCATTTACAACGAACTTTTCAAATTTCCATCTGTGTACATGTACATGACATGATTGTATGTAACTGCTGGGTACTACTACAGCGGTGGAATCCTGATAATTTGAATATGGCTTAATTCGAACATACCGCTTAATTCGAAGTTTTTTCCTGGCATTTTGAGGTTCGAATTATCAGGATTCCACCTGTAGTAGTTATTACGAGTGGACAGACTGCACGGTTTAGCTGGCAGTGTTGAGCAGCGTTTCCTGTAAGACGACCACAGTGAATGGTATATTCTTAGTAAATATCAGTATCAGTCACCAGATAATCCTTTCGGAAAATGAAAATGAAATATTAATTCAAACTCGGACACTGAGCCAGTAATAAATGTAAAAAGAAAAAGTCGTGGATAGTTGCTGCATAACTCGTTCTCATGTGTTTCTTCTCTTTTTTACAAATATTAATTCAAGCAGTGTTTTCTCAATTGCTCTAATACATGTACATGTATGTTGATATTGGACAACGTTTGAGAGCACCTCAGCTGGCTATTGCAGAAATTAGCTAAGAGGATTGTGCATTTGCAAGTTGATCGCACAGACATAAAAAAGTGTGCGCGTGTGCATACGCACTTTAACGCTCGATAACCCGAAGCGATCTGTCTGAATTGCGAAGTAGGATGGACAGTTAGTGGGTTGTATGTGAAATTCGTAACATCTGGGATGTTCTAAAATGGTAAAAAGCAGCTTTTGACCTGTTTATCAGTGAAACCTGGAGTCGTGTTGCTGGTGTGATGAGGTCGGCCAGAGAGCGGCGCATGTGCCGGAGGTGGGATGAGGTCGGCCAGAGAGCGGCGCATGTGCTGGAGGTGGGATGTACCACAATATTATTCACATGAAGAGAAAGCAGTCTGAGATCATGTTGTTACTTTAAAAAAACAAATCCAGTCCGATCATGTTAGTACTTTTTTTTAAATAAAAAAAAACTCTCCATACCATAGCTGCAGTAGCGGAACTGATCCAATTGTCACCTGGCAAACTGAAAAGATATACTAGTATGTAGTCAGGGCCAAGTATTTGCCTCGTAATGGATTCCATGCCATATGCTGTTGCAATCTGCCCGCATCTTCAGGGGGGATACCTGACCCATCGCAGAGCCGATGTGGACCTCCTTTTTCTGGTTGAGGAAGCCCCTTACAATCCAACCTGTGCCGTCAGCTGTTTCTAGAGTCATTAACAGAGCTTAGAACAGAGCAGATTCAGCCAGGTTTTTTGTGCTTCAGTAACTCCAAGTTTCATGCCTCAGGGCAATCATCCGACGCTTAGTTCTACCAAACAGTACGCTTACACAGGGCCAGAGATGAACAATTTAAAAAAATCCAGCACTGGGTGCAAGTGCGCGCTAAGTCTGGGTTGGATTGTGAGCAATCTAGCTGCAAGGTCTACATTGGTAGCTGAGAGCCGTCCTTCTAGGCCCACTACGCCACCAATCACCTCACCTCCATGTTTCATGAAAAGTATGGGAACTTCACTGAGCTTGCAGGGGTGTCGGAAGGTTATTTTTTAAAGGTGGTATGGTCAACCACCGGAGGTACACTTGTTGAGAGGAGGTGGCTCCGCTAAACAGTTTCTAAAATTCAGAATCCACTGTGACATTGGTGCTTTTGATTGATTCACGGGGTAGCTGGGGCAAAGAGTGGTACGGTCAATATCGTTGTGACCATGGCGTGCCCGATGCCCTGGCTTGCTAAACACGTCTGGAGGAAGCCGCTAACCATCACATGGAACGTCTGGGAGATGAGCCGGCCGTGCAGGTTTGCGTCAGAGTAATAATACTACCTTTGTATTGCAGATAAGTTCCACGTCCTGACGGCACCGAAGAAGCTTGTGCCGAACTAAACGATCTGAAATGATCTCCTAAGGCAGCTATGCGAATAAGCTCTGCCTCACAAACCTCGCACCTATAAAATGAACTGACCAAATGCTTAGCGTAAGCACCCCTAATCACATGCCTCTGCTGTTAGCTACACTATGATACTCTGCTCATGCCCGCCCATCACTCAATAGCCCACTCACACCTCCAACCGCCTGCCTCCTTAACGCCTTCCCTGGGGTTTTATTAACGTTTGGACGCTGCCAGACTTGGCGTGCACCTGCACTCAGCGCTAGATTTGCTTACTGTAAGTCTAAAAAAATTCGGTGTGTTTAAAATTTAAATTTCGGCCTCCAAAGGCAAAAAAACGCATTTTGTCCGCATTAAAAATTTCAGCCTGTACTGCTGCTGCTAATGCCTGTATATGCTGTCATACCGAAGCTTGCAAACCAAAATTTCGGCTGCAACAAAATTCTGGCCTGAAGGCCAAGGCCAAAATAGCCAAAAATAAATCTCCTTTATAGAAAAGAAAAGGAGCAAGGAAGTACAAGCTACGCTATAATGTCCATTGACACCACCAGTTACTAAACAATCAGCTCATGCGATAACATTGCACGACACTGACCGACGGTACTGACGTTCTACAACTAACTGGTTGTTGTTAGTGGACATTATAGCATAACTTGTAGTTCCTTGGTCCTTTTTGTTCTTCTATAAATTCATCATTGGCTCTCCATCCGAGTCCAATTTAAAATATCCTCGGAAAGGTAAATTTGTTGAATTGCAGTTGCAGTATATCTGTGTGCTTACGTGTTTGTAAGCGTACTGTTGGGTAACACTCCAGTATCAGTACTGTTGGGTAACACTCCAGTATCAGCGTACTGTTGGGTAACACTCCAGTATCAGGAGCTAGAAAACGATGACTTTCATAGGCTTGTCATTATGACCAATAAGGATCAGAAAGACACGTATGTGACAAGCTGAACCTCCAAGGTCACCATGAATAGCATAAGCGTAGTCTCTTTTTTAAGTTGCTCTTGTCCACGACAGGCTTTGCATGTATACATCCTATGCTTCAAACCATCTGAAGACAATTTCTTTCTTTTCTACATTTGCTGTTTGCTGATCCTGCTGGGGATCCAGAGTTTCCAACAGAAAATGCAACCACCGATACGTCGGAAGGTCAAGAAACCCGAGAGACAACTTCCGTAACTACGGTAGCTGAAGAAACCACCGAGCCTGTGACCACCCCAGAGCAGGCTTCGACTACTGAAGCAACGACAACACAGGCACCCACCCCAGCAACCACCACCCCAACAACAACCACCCCAGCAACAACCATCCCATCAGCCACCACCCCAGCAACAACCACCCCAGCAACGACCACCCCAGCAACCACCACCCCAGCAACCACCACCCCAGCAACAACCACCCCAGCAACCACCACCCCGGCAACCACCACCCCGGCAACCACCACCCCGGCAACCACCACCCCGGCAACCACCACCCCGGCAACCACCACCCCGGCAACCACCACCCCGGCAACCACCACCCCGGCAACCACCACCCCGGCAACCACCACCCCAGCAACCACCACCCCGGCAACCACCACCCCGACACCTACTACCACAGAACCCACGCCCCCGGCAGCTTCAACCCTACCAGCGACAACCGAGGCCGCTGAAACCACCCCTGGCTTGACCACCGTTGTCACGCCTTCCCAGGCTCCGGTCCCTATTTCAATTCACTCGGAAAGTGCAGCAAGTGATGCCACCAGCGCTCCGACAGCAGCCTCCACCACTACCGTCGATGGGAACGCTGATGACAATTCCGGTGGCGGAGTATCGAGCGGTGTCGTCGTCATCATCATCGTCTGTGTTTTGGTGGCAATCATTCTGGGTATCATCATTGCATTCGTTGTGGTGAGCATGACGCGGAGAACGCAGGGAGTTTACGAGACCTGTGAAGGAGAAGATTCACCCGGAAGCCAGGGTCAGCAGAAAGCGGAGGTTTTCCTATAAAGGCTGTGCTGAGGCACGTTGGCCTTGGGCTTGACATGCATGGTTGCACTGCACATAGGGCAGGCGTGAGCATTATTTTGCTACTCTAACCATGTATGTAACCTGTTACATGTGTACGCTTTTGTGTATGTGTAAGCTGTGTGCGTGTGCACGCGAGTGTGTCCATGTGTGTGAGTGTCCGTGTGTGTGTGTGTGTGTGCGCGTGTGTCTGTGTGTGCACGTGCGTGTGTGTCCGTGTGTGTGTGTGTGTTCGGGTGTTTGTAAGAAAGAGAAAAAGAGACAGACAGACAGGGAGTGAGCGAGTGAACGTGTTTGCGTGCACGCACACGAGTGAACGTGTTTGCGTGCACGCACACGAGTGAACGTGTTTGCGTGCACGCACACGAGGGTACATGTGTGCACAGTTATATCTACATGCATGCTCAGCCGCTAGCAAGTCTTTGAATGCATCCAGTATCGGTGCGCATCTAACTAGAGAGACCGAAGTATGTATTTTCGAGAGAGAGAGAGAGAGAGAGAGAGAGAGAGAGAGAGAGAGAGAGAGAGAGAGAGAGAGAGAGACCGCTTTCACCGCTGACAGTATAATATCGGACGGATGTTGTCACGTTAGTTCTATCCCAGAATGAGGAACACCAGTCTGCTGGGCAGGGATGCATGGCATTCTTGTACCTGCACTGGGCAACTGAGTTCTGACATCACTCCTAGCCAACACTCAGCAATGTGCAGTCACGGACTGGCGCCAGCGATACTGGCAGGAAATCATTTTCTGTTAGCAGCGCATGCTGTTCTCTTCTTCCTTTCTTGCTATGAGCATCATTGCTTTAGCCATGGAGTCTTCCCCTTTACAGACATTGTAATTTGTAGGCTTTAGCACTATTCTACTTCGGATTATATTAGGGACACGAAGCCATTTGCTCAACTCAGGCTTCGAATTCTACATGCCTTTAGCATGGGTTTTGACTCGACTTCTTTCTGTATTTTATGAACCGCTCCATTCACTCTAGCTCTCCTGCCGCTATGTATCTTGAAAGATTTCATCCTGTTGTACAATCACTAAGGATCTACTCCAGTAATCTTGGTTGATTGGCAGTTATACATGTGTCTGTGCAGTTTCTGGGTGTTGCTTGTGTGTGCGTATGTGTGTGCGGAAGTGTGTGTGTTTGTGTCACTGTGTGTGTGTGTGTGTGTGTGTGTGTGTGTCACTGTGTGTGTGTGTGTGTGTGTGTGTGTATGTGTGTGTGTGTGCGTGTGTGTGAGCGTGTGTGTCTAAGTCCACCCAAAGGTTTGGGGGTTTCAGGGGGCGTCGGCCATTGGGCGGTTCAATAGCCAATTGAGTCATCTTTCCAAGTTTCCTTTTGAGTCTCTCTCCCCTCTCCTGGGGAGACCCACATGGCCAATTTTGGCAGTGAGCAAGTACAAGTGTGTGTGTGTGTGTGCGTGCGTGTGAAGAATGAAAAAAATGAAAAATGGAAATAGGGATTCACTGGCCAGAAAAAGCCACTTCAATCAGCTGTGTGGTGGATACCAGGCTAAATTTAGTGGCGGTCAATTCATCACGCAGCCTTACAAGCAGTTGAATGGTGTAATCCCAGCACTAGTTGCTATGTCTAACATAGCTGTTCGCTGTCATTGCTTCTGCGGTGGGCAGGTCTGAGGTGTATATGTGTGTGTATACATGCATGTGTGCGTTTGTGGGTGCATGCGTGTGTGTGTGTGTGTGTGTGCGTGTGTGGGTGCATGCATGTCCTACATAATTATATCTACCATCAAAACTGCCAATAGCACACGGATCATTGCCCCCCCCCCCCCCCCACCCCAAAAAAAACTTCAGAATGCATCAGATTCTCTACAGGTAGCTCTTCGCTCTATGCATCTATCATGTTAATTCTGATAATTCTGTTGTTTCGGCTACACATTCCCCTGGCTACAGTCAGACAGCTAGCAAGGCAGTCGTCATCGGACATGAAGAACAGCTTCTAAAAGAGAGAAAAACGTTGGAGAAGAGTGAGCAGAATAGGTTATTTAATACTATTAGTACTTTCACATGGTGCACACTGGTCATTCCATGAAAGTTGGAAATGGTACGGCCTGCTGCACCAGTGTCACTAGCCCTGCCACTACTACTCGCAATCCTGTGATATCTATTATTACCAGTAGCATGGTCACTATCTCAGAATCCTGTGCAAAACCGGAAATCCATCCGTAGCCAGTCAAGTTAGTTATAGTTATTTGCTAAGAATACACGCACAATGGTGTTGATCAGGGGAGATACTACTAGTAGTATGAATCTGCTATTTGTGACAGAACTGGTTGCAGCTAGAGCGAGCGTGTGATGTGCGGCGCGTGGTGACCGCCTGTTCGCTAACTGCATGACTGTACAGTGCTTTTGCAAACACCAGAAAAATGCATACACTTAGTAGTTGTTAAGTAAAGGGAGAGCAAAGTGTATGGATTCCAAGATAGACTCAAAATTTACAAAAGAAAATGAAAAGACGACAGCGTATACTGCCAAACGCTGCAACGTAAGAATCATTCAAAAGCTCAAATCGGAGTACATGTTCAGTTTACGTATACCAGATCTCACTCACTGAGTATCCTCTGAAACGGCAGCAGAAGCCCTCCAAAAGCTTCACGCCTGAGAGACGTCCCGCAGCCCATGAAGCATGGGCAGAGCGTGTGCTGCAGGCGAGAGGTACGGATGGGTAGAGATACAACAGCTGCACCAACCAGATCCGATCTGTTATTGACAAGTCTGTTTGCTACATTTCTGGAAGAGGATATTCCCCATGAAATGCGAAAAATCGATTCCACTAAAATCTCAGCAGATGACGGCGATTCGATTTCTGGGGCTCCATCGCTCGCTCACATTTGCTCGCCTTATCGAAGGTGTTTGTGCCTGGAGTAGTACAAAGCAATGCAAGACAACATGCACAAGCATACACATACGTACACGTACAAACGGTAATAAGAATGCAGACACACACACACGCATGTGCGTGCGTGCAACAAACGTGCGTGCAACTGTGTTCATACACAACACCATCATGGTATTGCTGCAAGACCAACAAAATCTTTAAAGACAACAGTGTTGTCAAACATATCAAAACAGTAAAGACTAAGTGAGGAGCAGTCTGACTTACTCTCTCCCCGTCAATGAACGCACGCACGCACACACGCACGCACACACGCACGCACACACGCACGCACACACGCACGCACACAAACGCATGCACGCATGCTTACCCAAGGATCCTTGAAAAGTCTCGAGAATTCTGCCTGCATATGGTGGTCAGGATTCCATACAGGTCGTTGAGCGTCGGGCAGTTTTTCTGTGCCCTCAGCCAATGCAGTATGCCGTGTACGTTCTTGATATCCGCCTTGCCGCGCATATCCTTATGATTGTCGTCCATGTAGTCCGGTAGGACAATGCGATAGTTACGTAAAAGCTTCTCGTCGACGAATTCTGCGGCATGCCTGGCCAGCAACTCTGTGCACAACATAGGAGCAAAGGGACCGGAATGGAGAGAGGGAAAGAGGGGGGGGGGGGGGGGAGGAGGAGGGGGTGCAGACAAACATCAGCACACTGATGAATGTACATGTATTCGAATACTTTGTACACAGAAAAAGATTTCGCCGTCTTCCGGAAAAGTGCTCAATGGCTTTGGTGGAGAGTGCGACTTCCAACATAAAACCACTGCTATTAGAACCATAAAATTAACTCAAACACTCGTCGCAATAACGACGTTATTTCTCACATCTCCAGTTTTGCAAAGCATGAAAATCCACCTCATTTTTCAAATTAAATACATGTATCCACTTCACCTCCAGTCAGCAACACACAAACAGTCCTGCGCTACACCACGTACAAATGTTGATACCCTCCTGGGTGAAAATTTGGAAACACATCGTTGTACGTGGTGCAGCCGAGGACTGTACGTATGTTACGGGTTGGAGGTGAAGTGCATACATGACAAGGCTACAATGGAGCTTCAGAGTCCTCAAAAATCTAAAAACATAAAGGTGCGAGTACTTCACTGTTCTTGTTCCTTTCCCTTTGCCTGTATTTCACCTGATGAGAAGGCTTGAAAAAAGTATACTTGTGAAAAAAATGTGAAACCAAAACCTTTCAAGATGTTCGTAAAGAGCCTGAAGTGTGTCCTTTTTCTGAGTTACTGTTATTATCGCATTCATACATGTCACGTGCCTGTTGTCAGGTCGTTGCTAGCATTTGGCCAATCAGAGCAGCACCGTACCAGGGCATTATCAGACGATAATGCCCGGGTACGGCGTACCCATGCCCGTTAGGAATGACCCCAGGCGTACTACGTACGCTGGTGCACTGCCAAATATGCACCAAGCCATGCCTTTTGGGCAGTGACCTGGTACATAATTGGCAGTACTCCAGCGCACATAGAACACATGGGACCATTCCTAAGGACACCACATGCACTCGCACACACCACACGAAACGAAACTACTTTACAATACGTGCACCGTCCAAAACAATTATATTTTACTAGCAATGTCGACATAGGAGAAGTAATTTATAACAACGTGACAATAGCACACAGCATGTCATTACCATGCATTACTAAATTCAAGTCAATTGAGATGAACAAGTCAACAGGTGAACATGCATCACAAAGTTACCTATCTGGAAGAGATCAGATTGTATCTCGAACTCCTACAAAATATACAGTTACATCTACATTGTACTTCAAATGTACCTAGCTACATGATTGTCCAGTGTACATATGGACCTCAAGTAAACTGAAAGCAATGCGAACAAAATCTCAGATGTATGTGAAAAAGTATCATTGTTCCGAATAAGAACACTTACAATGTACTCTCAAAACTAGTCTAATTACTAGTGCCCCTTGGTCAAGGATGTTTGCGGCCAACGTTAACGCCAAAGCAGCAGCGAATCAGCTAACTTCCGTACCGCCCAATAGGCAACACTAACACCAAAATGCAAAGACATATTCCTGGAACTGCAAGTAAATCTGACACAAAACGTTCTATCATTCCACGGAGAAAGCTCCTTCCGATCTTGTTCGACCCTTCATTCATTTGACAGCTGATTGGAACCTTCCTCCTCCCTTGACCATGTTTACCTTATTAGTCTACAACTAGACATGTGGCATGTATGAACTATAATAACACATGGTGCGTCGTGCATTATGGCTGATTGTATGCCCTAGTGCGTAGCCCTCGGTCGTGCACCGTAGCCCGCGGGCCTGCGGCCCTTGGGCTACGGTGCACGACCTCGGGCTACGCACTAGGGCATAAATCAGCCATAATGCCCTCCGTACCATGTGTTATTACATACTTCTTGTCCCAGAGGAAACTGTTTACATGTAAAGGAGTTTCAAAAGAATCTCCTCATCTCTTCATCTCTTCCAACTGCAAGCAGATGCCCAGTGAAGAAAACAAAACTTACTGAACTAACCTCTCATATCTGGCGTCAGGTAGCTTCGGATGCTGTCAGCCAAACCTTCAATATCATCCAGGTCACTCAGCTTCTTCAGCCTGCACATGCAAGATGCAAACGCAGGAGTGAGCCAATTTGAACTCGAGCGCTTACGCATGCGCGCACGCACCCACATACACCCGCACACACACACACACACACACACACACACACACACACACACACACACACACACATACACACACACACACAAACACACACACACACACACAACCCACACACACGCAGACCCCCCCCCCCCCCAACACACACACACACACACACACACCAGAACATGAATCTGCATTGACGCCTACGAAGAAGTATGATCACCCGGTGAATGTAGGATAAACCTGGTGTTAAAAAAAAAGTGTAACAGGTCACTTCTCTGATTCCCAAACCGGTCTCTTCACTACGACCAAGCCTTGCACCACATCTTCGGGCTGGTCTATCATGAGTGTAAACCTAGAAATGTACAGAAAGTTAGCATGTCTTGATGCGATTATGGCCCTAGTGCATGTGTACTGCAGAGAGAGTGCAGTAGTGACGGGTGCCAAAGAACGGAGTGCCGAAGAATGAACAGGCTAGAATATCACCAAGCATAGCACACCAATGTACACGGTGACTCAACTGCGCATGAACAGTACAATCATGCCGCTGAACAGGTTACAGCGGGTGCCACTCTGTTCTCACTTTTCTCACTCTGCGAGTCTGCGTCTCCATATCACACTGAGCTTCGTATCTAAGCACTGGTGTTCCAAAAAGAAAGCTGTTCTCGTATTCCTAACTCAGTTGCTCTCGTTGGTCGTTTACAGTACAGTAAAAACTGGTTTAAGCGACCACCCCACGGTGCAAGCAAAACGGCGGTCGTTAAAGCCAGGTGGTCTTTAGAACCAGATTCCACAGTGTCTGTGTAGAACTGTCGGTGTGTGGAAAAACGGTGGTTAACAGCAGGTGGTCGCTAAACCCAGAGGTCACTCACACCACGTGTTACTGTACATGTAGTGCATGAAGACAAGAACGACCTAGGCTAGGGGGCTGCCTCTCCCCCCCCCCCCCCCCCCCCCCCGTTCTACGGCACCCGGCAGACTGTAAGGCTATAAGAGACACATTACGTATGTCTCCTGACTTGTAACTCACGTGCATATGTATAACTACACGGCCGCAGCCATTTGCTCAAAGTTCTGCAGCTGACAATACGCAATGAACAAACTGATAGTCTAGGAGCCAGGTGGGCATGAGAACTGAGCTGTGTGACCCTCCGTCCAGGAAAGATTTTTTTGACGGATTTTACGGAGCATAGCAACACACTCACCCGTTAGGCCCCAGTATGAGCGGATCTACCGGCTGGTGACACTGCGCAGAACTTGCCATACGAGGATCCGCTGGTTCCGTTGCATGTCCACCATCGCGCTCAGCACCCGTACTGGCACCAGTAGGGGGACCAGGACGCAAAACTAGATCCTCTGAACCACAAGAGGAAGGGACAAGAAAGCAAAACGAGGCCACAATGTTCGTTTCTCTTCTCCTCTCAACTAGCGGTACAGTATGCTGTGACATAATCAAGTGGTGTGCTTCACTGTCCGAAGAGTTCTCAATACCCATATAGGGCAGAGCCTTGTAAACAAGAGAGAGACTGGAAGCAGGGTCGCAACTCTGAGTTTCACGTATTACTACGGTCATCAGGCAATATGCTGTGACATAACGTGCATGGCTACTGGCTAGACTCCTGGTATCATGATCTCGTGATGTAATGTGCATTGCCTTTGATTTGCAGTCAGTGATACAGTCCGAACCATGCGGATAACGACACTCAAGCGTGCAGGAGAAACGTGGCGTTCTTCGCGAGTCGTCGTTAGTCGTGACGTCGTGAAAGCATGCAGTTTACATGGTCACTGGGTATGGTATGGTATGGTATTGATTTATTTGAATTCGGTATCTCAACAGTACAACGTACAACTTGGGAAGATCCGAATGACATAGATACATAAACATAAAAGTGGAGTAGGTGCTACAGTTGATCATTTTATCGCAGGTCGTGGGACTAAACTAATACCAGTATGCAAGTACACAAGAAATAAAAGCTGAATAAATACTGTGTCCGAAGATTGCGTAGTTATTTGCCAGTGTTGGTTACACATGAGGATGTTAACCACAAGGCTCGCTCTACTAGTCGGTGGCGAGGCACTAAGGGTGCAAACTTGAACATCAAGCACATCATTTTTTCCGCCATATCCAAGACCATCATGGTAGGGATGACAATTACAAACGGTTACGAGTCTTACGACTTTACTGGGGCAGAACCCTGAAAATCTGGCGGCTGCCTTCTAGCCTCGCCGCCAATCTTCCGACGCAGCTTACCGTTTGTTGCCAAAGGGTCGATGACGGCAAACTGGCCAAGCATGTCACCAAAGACGTAGCGCGACTCATGTTCGCGGATAATCTCACAGAACAGGTGAAACGACTCCGCGTTACCACCGCCGAGGTAGTCTAACAGGCGCTCGTTGTGCTCCATCGAGTCGGCGGAAACGGCCTGCAGCTTCTTGAGTTGGATATCGGAGATCATGCGTTCCGAGTAGCAGTGGGCGCGCACCACCCCCGGTGTCATGTTCTCCGTGAGATGCGGCGTCCACTGACGATAGTTTTTGTGTTTCCATGGAGACGGTTGCGACATGATGGCCGCCATGCGCGGAAGGCCAGTGTCGTTGCACCCCCGGGACCTAGCAGATAAAGAACAAAACAGAGCAAACTCAGATGGTGAGCCAAGGAAAAAAATTGTAACATGGAAATTGTGGGCACAAGTTATGACTGTTCAAAACCTGGTTTAGTTGGTGGACTCGATCGCATAACTTGTGCCCACAATTTCCATGTTACAGAGCAAACTGGTCTTGAAATATTAACCCAAGCTAACCCCAGTCACACCGGAAATATTCCTCGGCATGTCAGTAACATACCGGTGCCTGCTAACCTTTGCAAATCTGAGATAGGGACAATGACATACCTAGGTGTGAAATAGGGACAATGACATACCTAGGTGTGAAATAGGGACAATGACATACCTAGGTGTGAAAATCAATACAAATCTAGCTGTGAGGAATGCAACTATTGCAGTTTTGGGCTCCGATTACCACGCTCGATATCGGGACGGTCCCGACCAAATCTGGATGATTGGCAGGTATGCAGTAAGCCAACATCAGAATGTTCGTGATACAGGTCACGGCTAGCATCACGGAAAACCTGCTTGTTCCCAAAGCTATGAAACAGCCATGCTAGTAGTGTCTGGTGCTAGCCAGGGTCTACACCGCTTTATTTTCGTATCTTTGTGTGTGTGTGTGTGTGTGTGTGTGTGTGTGTGTGTGTGTGTGTGTGTGTGTGCGTACGTGCGTGCGTGGGTGTGTGTGGGTGTGTGTGAAGACGGGCGGTCGCGAACCACGTGACTAGCGAGGCCTGGCACGCTATCCCGTACACGTCCCGTACCATACCCATACCCATACCCATACCATGCCATACCGTGCTGTACCGTACCGTCAAAGAGACCTGGCCACCAGCGGCCATGCACATATTCAAAATAGGGCTTTCAACGTGAAACCACTTGGTCGAATGCGATGTGTATCGAGGGAATGTATGCGAGGCGATGGTGCGTGTTCGAATCGAACGTTGAAAAAGAAACAAAGCCAGGACCACAGCGCGAAATAATTACTTGGCAGAATGTGCAGTAGTAGTAGTACTTCGAAGTAGAATTTATTATTTTGATAGGGAAGCATGGCTGGGCCTGTCTGGGGTTTAGACTTTAGAGTGTGTGTGTGTGTGGGTGTGTTTTGTTTTTGGATTTTGTTTTGTTTTGCCCAGGGACTTCAATCTCGACCAAGCCAGGTTCATTGCGTGAAAACAGAGAGGTTGGAAACTGAGAGATCCCTCGCTATGCTAAGTTGCCTAGGTCACAATGCATGTTATTCAAACTAATATAAACGTCTTTGCAACACGATTACCGGGTACCGGTCGTGACATCTTTTTGTATTGCAAGACGTTTCTATCAGAAGAAAAGAGGACCAAAAGAGCTACAAGTTCCGCTATCATATCCACTAACCTGTCCCTCCAGGAATCCGCGGCCGCGGTAAAATCCGCGGAATTCATTTTTTTTAATATCCCGCGGAATTCACAGTTTTCACCGCAGAATCGTGAAAAATCACGGTTTGGGGGCAATGCGAGCACGCGCCTCATATCCATGCACAGTGCAGTGTCCTGTCGCTATTTTGTTGCATTCAAAGTCGAGGGAGTTTTCTTCGTTACTGTATTGAGCCTATCGTGTATTTTCGACCACTAAATTTTTTATTGATACTGGTACATGTCACTGGCACTGCCGGAGGGCGGTGGTGATCTGGGGTGCATTCAAGTAGGCAATGAGCGAATAGAAGAGGTATCCCAGTTTAAATACTTAGGTGCCGTAATCACGTCGGATGGCAAGTCCGATGTGGAGATAAGAAGACGCTTAGCACTAGGGAAGCAAAAGATCATTGAGCTTCAATTCATTTGGAAATCGCCATCACTTTCTTTGCCTACAAAATTTCGTTTTGTTAGGTCTATTGTGCTAGCGACTGTTTTATACGGATGCCAATCTTGGACAATATCTGCCTCATCAATGAGAAGAATTTCATCCTTCGAGATGAAATGCTTCCGCCGACTCTTAGGAGTAACATACCACGACCGGCGTACCAACCAATCTATCCTGGAAGAAATCAATGACATCATCGGAGCAAGGATGCGGCTAGCGAACGAAGTCAAGAAATTTAAGTTGATGTGGTTTGGCCATGTTACGAGACATGACGTTTTCTCCAAGCCCTTCCTGCAAGGATCAACTCCTGGATCTCGACCGAGAGGAAGGCCCGCAACATCATGGATTTCTAACATTAAAAGTTGGACGGGTCTTCCCTTGCATGCTCTCTCTCATGCAGCACACAATAGAATTGGATTCAGAGACATCATTCACAATTCTCTCGCTGATTAATGCCTCTACGATCACCTTGTGATTATAAGTTATACATACATACATACATACATACATACATACATACTGGTACATAGCATAATATATAGCCATGTCTTTTCGCCGGTGCAGCGCCGCAGAAATACCGCAGTATTGCCGCAGAATTCACGCTATCCGCCGCATAATGTAGCGATTTGTGCCGCAGAATTCTGCGCAGAATTTCAACTTTCTGTCCGCGGATTCCTGGAGGGACAGACTAACACCACCAGCTACTTTACAATCAGCTCATGCGATAACATTGCACGGCACTGACAAATGGTATTTAAAACGTTCTACGCCTAACTGACAATCAGCTCTAGCACGTCTGATTGTAAAGTAACTGGTGGTGTTAGCAGATGTGATAGCATAACTTGGAGCTCTTTTGGTCATCTTTTCTTCTTATGACTTAATCCTTGGCTCTCCGCACGAGTCTAACGTTTCTGTCAGTTCGAATTACACTCATGATGACCTCAGCAAAAACAAAGCATAGCGACGCACTGAGCTTCAAGCTCTTTCGCTATACCTGTACAAAGATACCTTCTCATTTAACGTTTGATGACACTCTTCTCCGTAAAATGTCTGCTTGAAGAGAGAAGCATACACTTGTCCAAGCGTCTCCACACCTGATCGTATCAGAACGGCCTGGACCGAGAACAGCACCTTCGTGCAACCAATTTCTGGCCATATCACGCGGGGTCATGGTACCGAGTTATTAATTTTGCTGTGTAAAGCAGAGCCCTTGGCCACTCATCATTATGCATGATGTGTCCATTTCGGATTCGTTTCATTTGGCATTGAAAGTGCGTACAGAGGATATACAATCATGTACCGGTAAGACATTTTTGCTCGCTAACTCATGATAGCTCAGTAGCTGCACTGGCTATTCTCCCCCTTCTGATATAATTGACATTATATTTTGGTAACATTTCAACAAATTCTCGATTCTCACCTGGATCAGCCTATGTCTACGATCTTCTCGCCAAGGCCAGCAGACCAATGACTACCGACTATGTCAACCAGCCAGCCTCTGTTTCACAACACTGTAAGGCGATTGACGTGGTCCGGAACACGCTCCGGCGCTAGTTTACTGATTATTTGCATGTACAAGACTCAAAAGACCGGCATCCACCGATTATTGGAAATTTCTTCGTTTCTTCATCCATTTGCGCTCTACATGACTAGATCTATAGAGTAGAGAGTAGAGTGTAGAGAGTTAGAGTAGAGAGAGAACAGCGTGCATGCACGCCATGCACTGATGATGCAGTCGACAAGCGCCAGCAAACTCAACTCACGTAACCGTTCATTGCACTGGTTTATATGACGTCACTTTATCAAAAACTGAAATTGCCGAATCACACAAACGTCATCAAGGGTCGTGATCAGGTACTTCCCCTTCTCCCAGACCCAGGACCTACTACAATTCGTCAATAGGGCTTGAAAGTGATGACGTCAAAACGGCCAGGGAGTAGTAATTTGACATCAGATTTCTATTTTTGGATCCACTAAGGTGTGACTTTGCTATTGCCTAAGTATGTGGGTGCATAGCAACCTACTCATGTCGCATGCAGGTGTGACTTTTATTTCGCCACCAATTGTAACCCCGCCCCCAGTAGCCAAATCAGTCAGTTTCACTGGCTACATCACCATGCTGTGGGTAAGACCGCTTGAAATGTGCTTGGATCCATACAAAAAATGGATCCAAGTGGATCCAGTTTTTGAATTTTTGAAATTGTTGCTATGCTGTGACGTAGCACTTTCAAGCCCTATAGTGAGGTTTTGCATTCCGAATTTCGGTTCGGCGTTCTTCGGTCTTTTGTCGAACATCAAAATGTCGAATTTTCGCACCAACGTTTGTTTTGCAAGTCGAAAATGATGTGTTTTCATTTCGTGAGCCCCAGCATCAGCAACGACCTGTACCGTGCTCCTTTTCTTGCTGATTCCAACGAACTTTGATCGCCCAAAGAGTCGAGGGCCAAACCTGCCTCCTCAGTCGCCTCAGAAAAACCAACTCCATGGCCAAGTCAAATTTTATGCGTGTCGCCATAGTCTTTTCAGCCACACAGAAGACGGTGAGGACACTCCAGGCGAAAGAGAATCGACAGGCAGTGGAGAGGAGCAATCAGAGGTAGCTGACGATGCTATGTCGCCAAAGACGCCTGCGAAGCGATGCCGAGATAAGAAACCTCTTTGAATAAATCACGCGCTAGCGCTCTTCTACAAGAAAATGCATCCGAAAAATATTTTCGGCAAAGTGAGCTTTTTCCGAACAAACACTCCGAATCTTCGTGTGCATTTTCGACCTCGCTCCCGCGTGCCGAATCTTTTTGCCGAATTTCGGAATGCAAAACCTCACTAGTAATTATTGTAGTACTACGACAGCCATGCGCCAGTCCGGACTGGTACTGTATCCAGTAGATATACTCAGTACAGTGTATCTGGCATGGCTGCAGGTACAGCAATGTCGGGTCCTGGAGAACAGTCTAGAATGTAATACTATTTAGGTAACGTAATGGCACTATCGCCGTCGGTACCGTTCATTTCCGAGTACAGTGTACAACAGGGAGTCGTCAAATAAGGTATTTGACGACTCCCTGGTGTACAAGTACTGCAAACCCGGAATTGTTTGCGCCCGTTTTAGTTTGCGAATTGCGATGCCAGACATTTTTTTGCCTGCAAACGTTTGCGATTGGAGTCAATATTTTGATGATTGACTCAAGTGTGGTACGTGCATGGTAGCGGTGGTGGTTAAATCCCCGCTGTTGTCAGTGGCTTTGTACCATGCCCATGCGCATATGCGGGGCCACGGTCACTGCAATGCCTGTGGGTGTATGACGTGTGTGTGTGTATGTGCATGTGTGTGTGGTGTGTGTGTGTGTGTGTGTGTGTGTGTGTGTGTGTGTGTGTGTGTAATTGGTGTACGCGCACATCAACTAAAAATTAATACCAGGTAGACTACATGTACCAGAATGATACTTTCCAGGCTGCGTGCCACCTCCTGCACTCATCCGGTGAAGGAACATGCACTGGAATTGTACCCAGAATCAGACACTCGCGAGCAGCAGCAACAACAGAGAACAAGGAACCGATTCCAACCTCAATAAATAACGTCATCCATCGGAGTTAATACACCCGCAAAAAATGCTCAGAAGTGCACAATGGGCTAAGCTGGAGAAGGGGATTGTACCAGCAAGGACAAGATTCCCATGTAATATCATGGTTGAAATCTTTCCATGAGTACCGGGCACAGCGGTAGGTGGTAGCCGTGTATGAGGTGCGGGTAGCACTAAAGCACACGCTCTTGGCGGCTCTGCTATACCCTATCATGGGGTTCGGCACCAAACACGGGTGCCGAGCAAACGAGCAACTCCAACGGAATGCTGCATGTACCGGTACGTGCAACACTCCATGGTGGCACGCAGAGCAGATTGCATACAGCTAAAGCACAGCATATACGCGGCGGTCTACACGGGCAAACACAGCAGACACGCCTGGAGTATAACTATAAGCAGCCGTGGATGGGGAAGCAGATCAAGATTGGATAGTCCCGCTGGAACACCAGCATCCAAGTAGGCCAGAACAGAGCAATCAGAGATTGATGAACTGCACAATGGTACACTCTGCTCTCTGACTTACAGAGCTACAATACTTGTATAGATCGGCTGTGTTACGCCAGTGCGTGTTTTCCCACTGTCAAGCACTGACGGTATGCATAAAGTACAGCATGGCGGGAGCTGTAGCCGAGAGCACATGACATTGGTCTTGCAGTGAGCGGCCGCTACGATCGTTCGGCCATCACGTGCACGCATTACTCAGGGCACACATATACTTCGGCGTACAGGCAGTGCGGGCGAGTCCGTTCAAAACTCTACGCCTTCATGGAAGCATTCCAAAGTTATGGCGACACTACTCCGTGTACCAAAGAAAACCGTGATAGCCACAGTCATGTTGCAGAGCCCCGACAGAGCACATATCCGACAGGAAGAGCGCCCTGGCATGGTGTCTCGGACGATGGACGCGGGGACCACATCTAGCTGTCCAGGATCGTCAGCCGCCATGATGTTCGATCGGCGGAAAACGCCGGTGCTGGAACCCCGACTACAGGTAGGGAGTCTGCATGAGAAACAATAACGACGACGACAACAACAACAACATCACACACACACACACACACATACAATCCCAAGCAGACGGAAATGCATACACACAAACACATGTACCCACATGCACAGAAGCAGACGGACATGCGCACAGACAGATACAAATATCGACATGAATACGAGCAGACGCGTACAGACAGATACCAATACCCACATGAATACAAGCAGACGTGCATGAACACACACAAACACACAATCGCCAGATGCACACACGCAGACAGACAAATATTCATTCGCCGAGACACTACAAGTCTATTTCACATGCTCACGCACAAATACAAGGCATGACCACGTCCTGGATGGGGCATGGCCCTTTGCCAGCAAACCCGTTTGTTGTTGGTCCGATTGTGTGACATTGTGTAGTTGATTTCGTTTTTCTGGATTACTGTTGTGTTTTTGTATTGTTTTCCTTTTTAAACTCGGATACTGAGCCAATAAAATATAATTAAAATAGAAGAAATCACATGGAAACGAGTATCTTGTTACAGTCGTGGATTTGTTGTTGTTCTCGGCGTGTCAAAGTCTCAGCGTGAATCATTCATGCGCACTTTACATTTTTTTCAAAGTATTCATCTAGGGATTGAGTTGAATCTTTTACACAACCTTGATACATTTGCCTTGAGTTTCTTTGGATTAGACTCTTTAAAATGTTCATCTTGACTTCATTGCCGAGTTTCATCTCTTGTATCTTGGGTGTTCTTCATTCTTTTATTTTCCGTCGAAAGTATGGAGTGGAGTACTGCACTAGTGACGTATATACAGAAGCCTTGCTTGGTAGTTTAACATGTTTTTCGATTTTGACAGCATGTTACAAGGCGAGGACGCGTAGTGCACGTGAACAATACTACGGCGGCAACACGACGACTTCTACAACACAAAAAACGAAAATTATAAAAATCCTACCAACCCGTAGAGTAACGAGGGTCCGAACCTGGGTTTTCCCAATACGGTTCAAATGGTCGCAAGACCGGGACTCTGCCAACCGGTTTATGGTTGTAGTCAGGAGCACTACGCGTCCTCGCCTTGTAACATGCTGTCAAAATCGAAAAACATGCACTAGTGACGTGGACACGAACATCTGATTGGATGACCGGGGCCGGCACACATACAGCTTTTTAGCGCATACATGCACTGTTGACATGTAGTTCATGTACACGCTGTAACAACAACATGGGCCAGGAGTGCTGGCGGCTGCAAGGCCAGCGCCCCGTGGCTGCTGGACTTCTGCACGGATTTCAATGTCCGCGACGGTAGTGACTAACATTCCCGTGAACATTGGCACAATTAGCCTGCCATGTTCGACGATGAGCAAAGCCTCCGGCAAACACTACGAGAAAACGCCCGACGCAACACCAGATACGACTGTTAGAATTTTGTGTGCTAGCAACGTTACCTGAGCTTGACTTCTGCAGATGTTGCTGAACAAAATCGGCTGCCGTTGCGTTGGGGCCGAGAGAAGGCACCTGGAAATACAGTCAGAGGGGGGGGGGGGGGGAGAGAGAGAGAGAGAGAGAGAGAGAGAACAGAAAGAGAGGGAAAGAGAGAGTAGAGGCAGAGATTAATAAAATAAGCTAAGCAGCACATCATACCGTGTGTACCGACACGAGGGCAGCACTGCACTAGTGCACACGACCACTATCGTGACACGGAAACTAATCCCCCACACTTTGCTTTTATCTCTCTTCACCCCCCCCCCCCCCCCACTCTCTCACACACACACACCTGTCCTGTTCTGTCGAGCCACTGCCACAAGGGTCACGTGGGCTCCGGAGGGGCAACGCAGAGAGAAGATGCACACACACACACACACACACACATACACACACACACCTGTCCTGTCGAGCCACTGCCACAAGGGTCATGTCGGCCCCGGAGGGGCAATGGAGAGAGAAGACACACACACACACACACACACACACACACACACACACACACACACACACACACACACACACACACACACACACACACACACACACACACACACACACACACACACACACACATACACATACACACCTTCCCACGCCCTGAGTTTTACTACAGTGCAGTTCACGCTGTGCACGTTTCTCGCAATGTCAGAGCATTGACAGCCCGCACTACTAGCAGAAAAGAAAAAAAGCACAAGTTTATAACACAATACACACTGGAATAAAAAGTGAAACCTACCTGCGCCACAGGACTGTCTGCTGCTCCAGGTGCAGCTACAGGACGCCATACATCACGCAGCTTGTCACAGATGAGCTTCATCACCTCGGCGAATGTCGACTGGAGCTTGACCGCCTCGAGCTCTTCGTTAAGTAGGTAGAGCACACGCAGCATGCAACCCACATCACCTGTGAACACCACACACACACACACACACACACACACACACAAAATACATATCATGCACATCATAGTAGGGGCAGATATGCAGCAGAAAGAGGCGTAGTGCGTACAACTGAGCTTCAGGTGTGCAGCAGGAGACCTGCTTGAATGCTGCTTGTGAGCACAGATTTTCACTGTGACAGCCACACCCATCCGAGCTACACACTTTGGGCTTCATGTACTCTTGATACAACATTTTTTTTATAAAACAATTTCACGGTTCGCGTCAGACTCGGCTAGAGGCCGAGTTTTCCGCATCCGCAAGAACGCCAATAACCTTCAAGGATCAAGGCGTAGATGCAGCTCCTAAACCCTTTGAGCACGCATGACGTATTAATACGTCACGTACAGTGTCACTGCACCCACGCATGACGTAAAGCGGTGGGAGGTGAGTAGATCAGCTCACCAGCAAGTAGTCAAAGACCGATAATCCCATTCACTGCATCCATACAACATACTAGGGGATATAACAAACTTTCCTATTCGTTTAGATCCCCGCATTATGTTAAACGAGCTATTTGATCTTGGATACACAGCAGGTTGTGTAGTATAATACAGTGCAGGTTTCCCGTTGCCCTTTACAGCTGTATTACACTGAAGTCTCGCTGTGGTTGCCCCCTGCAGGCAGGGGTACAAACACTAGTCAAGAAGGATGTGTAACAGAGGGCAGGAGATCTTCGGTTTCCACTCAGGCCACAACAAGCAACCCCGCTGGACTGCATATTTCATAGTATCCACTATCCATACACGTACACTAGACCTTGGACATCCAAAAAGCAAAGACGAGAAGTAAAAACAGCGTCACAAAGGGCACTAGTGACCATACACATGCATAAGAGATAAGAGAGAGAGAGAGAGAGAGAGAGAGAGAGAGAGAGAGAGAGAGAGAGAGAGAGAGAGAGAGAGAGAGAGAGAGAGAGAGAGAGACAGAGAGAGACAGAGAGAGAGAGAGACAGAGAGAGAGAGAGAGACAGAGAGAGAAAGAGAGAGAGATGCGAACCCAGGACGTACTGCGTAAACCGTCCACTGTTGTGATGATTTCTGCCAGCGACTCGATCAACGCTTCTTCCTCATGTGCACTGCCTTCGCGTAGACGATGCTTCTTGCGTTCAGCCTTACGCCTGTTCTTTGCAGTTCGCCTATAAGAGCAAAGCCAAAACAAATGAACAGGATATACATATTCATTGGTTTGAGGGAAAGATGCAGACGGGAAAAGTCTGAAGATAAAATTGACTGTCACCACCAGGACTCAAACCAGGGACGTTCGCTTGAGGCCAGCGATGCTCTAACCACTGAGCTATGGTGTGACTGTCATCCCAGCAGAGACCGCCAAACATCTTCTTCGGACTTTGAAACCCACGCTTCCTGTGAATCCACACAGGCGGGTGGGCCACAGGATATACAGGGGGAGAGATCGGGCAAATCGAGTCACTTGGTCTACACAAGGGTGCAATGATCACCGGGGGTCATTCGGAATGAGATCAAGAAACGGCTTCATGCCGACTTCCCAATATAACGGCTGCTCTAGCTTTCATCATCAGTAAGCACACGGTTGAAACAAACAGTCCACGTCAACAAGAAGCTAGACTGCTAGACAATGCGCACCCATGTGTATAATGAACGTAATGTTGTCATGTGTATAATGAACGTCATGCTGTCAAGACTCAACAGCACTACAGTTGTACAGTAAGACCTGTAACTACAGACCACCGCGACTAGCAACCAGCCTGGTACTACAGACCACCGTGACTAGCAACCAGCCTGGTACTAAAGACCACCGTGACTAGCAACCAGCCTGGTACTACAGACCACCGTGACTAGCAACCAGCCTGGTACTAAAGACCACCTTGACTAGCGACCAGCCTGGTACTAAAGACCACCTTGACTAGCGACCAGCCTGGTACTAAAGACCACCTTGACTAGCGACCAGCCTGGTACTAAAGACCACCTTGACTAGCGACCAGCCTGGTACTAAAGACCACCTTGACTAGCGACCAGCCTGGTACTACAGACCACTTCGCCAGGCACGGACGGTTTCACATTCATATTATGGTTGCGCCGAGCAAACCTTTCACTAAAGACCACCTGCCACTAAAGACCGCTTTCTCTGGCCCCAAGGGGTGGTTGTTAGTCACAGGTTTTACTGTAGTTGTATGATGCTACTCACGCAGTCTGTCGTGATCGATTAGAGCCAGCCGAGCTCGCAGTTGTTCTAGAGGCCAAGCTGCTGGCGTCGGAATAGAGATCGGCGTCGGGACCATCCGCTGGTAAACCCATATCTATACAAACACATCATGGTGGATATATGCATACAAAGGGAGCGCAGACAAATCGATTCTTAGGCCGTGGCATACGGCATAGACTACAAAGGCAAACATCGACAGTGAGCCAGAAAAGACCACCACACACAGACGCTGGCCCATTTAACTCCGCAAACACGGACGCATGCGGGGATGCACACATCTGAAGTTCCCGCAGGTACATACTAGTGCATGTACTGGAGTCTCAATGTATCAATAATGATACAGTTAACCCTTTATGTACCGCGACCATCTCGAACCGTAAAAATATTTACGGTTCGGCGCGCCGCACTTGGACGCGCCGTTCGGCGGCGTCCTTTCTCTGATTCACTCGCGGTTTTTTTGCAGTGGACAGCTGAGATCCCACTGAAAATTTTGATGTATGATATGGGTAGGTCACCATTTGAAAGTATGGAGACCGATCGCGGCGAAAAGTGCGCTTCGCAAATGCAGCGCTCTGCGATATATTTTGCCAATTTCGATCGTGTTTTCGTTCCGTCACGCTGCTGCTAATAGAGATATAGCCTTCTCCAGGTAGTGTCGACATCCTCTAGTCGTGGTAGACACCTGGAGAGAGCTGAAGTAGCGATATCTCCTCAGGATCTGAATCGAAACTGCCAATTTTCATCGCTGAAGCCATCACAGCATTTGCTCTCCGAGTAGCAGCGAGAGGGAGGGCAGCGATGGCATAAAATCACCACGGCAGGCGGAGGTCATCCCCTAGTACCTATTTCTTGTCTTCTCAATCACCAATCCTCGGTCGACGTGAGTAGATCAGCAAAAACTACATATCTCAAATCTGAAATAATTGCAATAATTTGAATATTTGACGCAATTGTTTGCGTCTGGTATTTAGACGATACATCCGTTTTCCGCCCCTTCTGGTGCTGTTTATGCATGCAACTAGTGCCTGTGGTATCCTTTTGTCACTGTGCGTCCCAATGGTCGTCCCTGATTCGTCTATACTTTATTTCAAATGTAGCGATCTCAATTGTGAGAATTACGCACAATTGGCTCATAATTGGGTATTCCGTGTATGCCCTCTACTATTAGTTGCATGCTGGATTACAATATGTTGACAAATGGACCCATTCATTACCATAGATTCAGAAAAACATAACTTGCACATACAAAATGCGTCTAGATTTTATCCTATAGGTCCATCATTGACGAGGAGTACCCTACGCATACATTAGATGCGCGGTACATAAAGGGTTAAAGTGCAGACTTGGTGCTGGAGGGGGAATTCCCTAGCTGTGTGGGGTCATGGTTCAGTGCAGCTTTCAGCTTCATGACCCAACACAGCTAGGGGATTACCCTCCAGCACCAAGCCTGTGTCTCGAAAGTACACTTTGTATCTAAGTCACCATTTCTACTTACCCTGCTCACCAGTACAGAACTGAGGAGTGTACGTAATGCCAAGGAAGGCACAATGGAGTTAGTGCCCTCTTGGCCTAGACAACCTAGAAACCGACGGACACTGAGGACAACCACTCACCCAGCCGCTCTTGCCGAGCCTTGATTTTGTCCTCGCGCACAACAGCCAGGCGAGAAACACGAGTGGAGAACGTTGCAATGTGTGTGTCCAGCGCACCCACTTGAACATGGCATGCTGACACAAGAGAAGACAAAAAAAGCAAAAGGCAAGGCAAATGAATGGCTGGAAAAAGACAATTACTTAGTTACTATGATATGAAGAAAGCAACACAAACAAATTGTCCAGTGTTGCCACAGTGCAAAGAAAAAATCTGGATCATGAGTTCTAAACCAAGCAGACTGGCAACATTGGACATTTTTATGGCTGTTGTCGGCGGAAGAAGGCTAATTGTTGGCAGGTTGTGACTTGCCTCCAAAATCGACAGGCTACTGACATGTGGGCAGGTGCGGCAACACAGCGCAATGCACCGTGCAACCGTTCCAATCTAACAGTGTTTACAGCAGGGTTGAAACTTCTTATGAAAGTCCAGGCTCAGCAGCGGTGAAAACGGTACGAATTATCCCTACCTTGCACAAGGCACGGTCGCAATTCTTCCTCGACTTGAGCCTCTTGCTCAAAGCGATACATCTACACAGACACATGGGTAGAACAAAGAGGAGAGGGATTAGATAAGATACAATCCCGCTTCACATACGATGTATACAGGACTCCCTGCGTATTCCGGTCCCCGCATTCAGCCCCAGACATGGAACCTGGATATTTGGCCTAGCAGATAGATAGACAGACAGACGGATGGCCAGTCAGAGAGAGGGAGAGAGGTAGAGGTAGAGAGAGAGAGAGAGAGAGAGAGAGAGAGAGAGAGAGAGAGAGAGAGAGAGAGAGAGAGAGAGAGAGAGAGAGAGAGAGAGAGAGAGAGAGAGAGAGAGAGAGAGAGAAAGAGAGAGAGAGTCGTTACCCATTATTCCAAATAGCTACCTTGGACCGTGGAGAAACTCAGAAACAAACAAGAAACGTAAGCTAGCTCTAACACTAACTACAGTCAACTTCGCTTACAACGACCCTCGGCGGGGCATCAAAAAGTGTCCTTATTCGCAAAGTGTGGTTATACCCGAAGTCTCATTATATGTATTACAGTTGCAAGGGACTTTGCTCTGGGCACGGACATGTTGTCGTTATTCGCGAATTGTCGTTATATCCGCAGTCGTTATTAGCGAAGTTGACTGTATTACAGACTAGCATAAACTGGGAAATACTACAAGGAGTAAGTACATACCAGCCGGTATGCCTCTTCCCAGAGATGCCCGTCCAGGGCAATGCCAATGGCCTCATCATATTTCTGTCACACACACACACAGAACGAAGAAATCGGCAGAGCTCAGTCGCACACACACACACACAGCAATGATATAGACAAGTGCTACAAGTGGAGATTGCACACTTTGCAACAACTCGACTAACAGTGCATGTAATGTACAAACAGAACACTAAGCGGCGAAGTAATTTTGTACAACTACAAAGTAAGGCAGTTGTCCGGCTGAAATGTCCGTCCTCGGATGTTGAAACGACCTGAAAGGCTGACTGGACATTTTAATCTTGCGTAGGATTTCGTCCAAAAATCTTTTTTTCCCGAAGCTCTAATGATGAAAACAACGAAATGTACAGACATGTTCCTACAGTATAAAAGCAGGAATGATACTCAGGAATTTATTTTCCTTCTTGTTGTCAAAGGAGTTTCAGGAATAGATCAAACGTCGACGTGTCCAACTTTTCAGGACGTTTTACAGCCTATAGATGAATATCCGACCGAGTGAACTGGACGAAATTATTTACCGACTGAATTATCTGCTTGCAAAGTACGGCGAACAACAACTGCAATATGCTTGAGGAAATGGACCACTACTTACGTCTGTGTAATCCACCAAAACTTGCACGGCTTCACCGTGCCTCCTCTGGGCCACCAGAGCATCTGAAAATTAGACAAGAAAACACAGTGCATAGGCATTAGCCATTTATAGGCATTCGGGACCATGTGACCGCCAAATACATGTACGCCGAAGGCGCAACGTCTCAGGTAAAATTAAAAAGAAAAGAAAAGATCAGATGGCCTATGGTGCTAAGACTGTATGTAAAACACAGGTGACACACACTGACTTAGAGTCCATTCAGATGGAATAGTCACACAGGCTTTTGAAAGCCTGATTCGGCCGAAACCCCACTTTAAATTCAAAAATCTGGGTTTTTGGAGCTCCATTTTCACCATGGTACATGTCCTGATTTGGTGACGATTGGCCGAATTTCGAACTTGGACTTTCCCGGCCTCAGAAGGGCCAAGGAAGAATAGCACGGGTCACACTATGGAGAATGTTCAGATTTTTTTACTATCTACCATGATACTTGTGAGACAACAAAAAGTCAGCGGCAGAGTTCGATGAGCGGACTGTAATCCCCAAACAGCTCTGATCGGGTCACAATCAACTAGGAATGCTACATACGTATCAGGAAAAAGAAAGAAAAAAAAACAAGTGCCCCCTGTGAGGATCGAACTCACGACCTTCAGATTATGAGACTGACGCGCTGCCTACTGCGCTAAGGAGGCAGCTGATATCCTAGAAGCGAATAACCAGCTTTGACAGGGGCAAACACCTACCGGCAAGGGAGCAGGCCAGCTGCATGGTGGCCGCAGAGTCGTACTGCAGCTTTCTGGCAATGGCCATGGCCTGACGCCAGTTGATAGCCTTCTCCAGACAGGGCAATGCCAGCGAGTGAAGGTTATACTTGCACAGAACTGCAGGTAAGACAGACACACAGAATTAAGCCCGATTCATACTTCATCTCGCGTACGGGAAACCCATCGCGCGACCATCGCGCGATGGGTTTCCCGTACGCGAAATAGTTGAGCTCAGGTCAACTTTTTCGCGACGCGACGCGTTTCCCGTACGCGACATGAAGTATGAATCGGGCTTTATACACATAAACCTGGCTTTAGTGTTGACACACATAGAAATACCTGGTTTCAATAGAAGCCTGGCCCTGACATCGACTTCTACAGGAATAAGCCCGGCTTTAATACGCGACTTTACGATATGTACTGTTCAAACATGCTATACAATCACCCGACAAAATCCCAGGCACGCATGGTCATCTTCAAGCATTATTTATTTTATAATTTCCGAGACTGAGCCAATCGCCAGACCAACTGGGAAAGGCGTACTTTTCAATGTTCTCATGCTAGACTCAGCAGCAGATTAAACTGAGACCAGGTATTATGACGCAAAGATCCGATTACGCTCGACCAAGACCCTATGCAGAGCTGGATCAGGCGTTGCACACTCTGGGGGGTTATGTACTCTTGGTTGCAGTGTTCACAGGTCTAGGGCTGCGCAACGCGAGGCGCGTACTTGAGTGACTCGACTGGCTATAATTAATTCAGCAGCACTGTAGAATAGAGCGAAAAGAAGAATGCACTCCTGTCGGCACTTACCAAGCGCTGCCTCCGCATACTGCTTTGCCTCCGCCAAGTACTGACCATAGGACTCGGCGATCCGCTGCAAAACGCGAAAGAAGACAAGAAGAGATGAGCATGTGAAGTGATGTGATCATAGGGGAGCAGTTCTACACTGCATGGGGTGATTGACAGCTATGTACGGAATATCAGAGCAATGAACCCCAAGGTTAGGAACAACATATTATGTTACGAGCTTCTAGCCCTGTGTGTAGCGTCTCTAGCTCTGCTCCTGATGAAAGTTAACACTCTTTTAAAACACACTCACAGAGCACTACCACGCTACACACACATACGCACTCGCGCGCACGCACACACACACACACACACACACACAATACACACACGCACGCACACACACAATACACACACGCACGCACACACACGCACACACACAAATACGCGTGCGCCCATGCATGCACATAAGTTAGAATAGATAATCCACCAGCCTAACCTTGGCATTATCACTGGAAGCCGAGTAGAGGCACAATGCTTGACGGTGCAGTTTGTGAGCAATTATCAACTCAAACGCTGTCTCAAACTTGTCCTCTACACAAACAACAAGCCACAAACACAGAAGTGCAAATCTTGTCTCCTTCACATGACACACGCACGCACGCACGCCCGCACGCACGCACGCACGCACGCACACACACACACACACACACACACACTTCCACCTCCACATGCCCATCGCTGAAGCGATGATAGCGAACAGACTTTTTCGGGGAGTACACTATTCAACAGCTTGCAAGGCTGATGTATTGACCGCCACTAACTTTAGCCTAGGCACACACGCACGCACACACACACACACCCCCCTCCCCCCCCCCCCCCAACACACACGCACGCACGCGCACACACACACACACACACACACACACACACACACACACACACAAACACACACACACACACACACACACACACACACGTGTGCACACCAACATCACCACGAGCACCGCCACAGCTACTGCCACCATCACACGCACGTGTCCACCAACCAGTACCACTGCAGAAGATATGTATCCAAGTATGCACGTACACAAGCAGCACAAGACAAGACTAACCACACTCGCTGATGTTGGACAACGCCCGGCTGTGCCGTCTCAAGTACATGTCGATTGTGTACTTGTCAAACGAGGACATATGACGCAGCGAATTCAGGAATGGCACGTACTCCTTGGGATCCTGAAACAACAACAAAAAACGAAGAAGAAGCAAACGCAAATACATGTCTGCTTTGAAGAACTCCAATGTGATTGTAAACAGGATATCCTTCCAAACAACCTCACGTAACCTCGGCTGGATAGAGGCCCGTACTGTGCCGTACAAGGCGAATTCCATATCAGGAAATGATATTTTATTCACACCGGAACTGCTGCTGCTGCTGCTGCATAGCCTCAAGACTAAAAACTTAGCAACTTCTCGCCTGTACTTGACTCGTTCACTATGACTCCCCTCAGCATTTCTCGCCTTGCTCCCCCTGATGTTCAGGCTGCCCGTTTCGGAGCCATCAGTTGCCTGATGATCGTAGTAATACGTGACAAAGAGTTGTGATACAGCTTCCAATCTCTCTCTTGCCACCCGTTAGTGCTGTAGTCTCTAGAAGATCTGTACCTTTTGAGATTTTTCCGCCACCATCATGACCAGGTCTAGGTCATACATGCCCAGGGCGACGTCGTACAGCTGGTTCACATCGACCGAGTACAGGACGAACTTGATGGCATCGGTCACTGCGGACGGAGTCAGGACACTGGAGTCTGCAGATGAGAAATATACACACGCCATGTACACTGATTGGTCCGATACAAAACCAGAGGGTAAAATCGATCGGGTGCACATTGAAGAAGTGTGTGCCGTGTGAAAAACAACTGCTTTGGAGCACACTGGAAATGCTGTAGACACAGGCGTGTGCGGGATAAAAAGGCACTGGCTTGAAGTGAAATTTAGCGGTACGAAAGCACACAGAGGTGCAAAGCACATGAGAATTTCTCTCCAAATGCTTGGCAAGCAGCCGCAAGGGCGGAGTGATGCGTACCTCGTAGGCGCTTGATGTGTGCCAACACGGACTCCAGATCTGGCGTCGGCCTCTTGATGTGGGTCATGAGAATGCTGTGTAGGAACCTGTGTGAAAACAGCACCACGCAAATGCAGTCAGTACATGGCAACTGCGCTGACACCCAAAGTCAACTGGCTACTGTAATTTCACAAAAATGTCGGTGTCCTTGTTTTTCGGTACTTTCGGTGAATCTGGTTCATACCTAAAATTTCAATACACCGAATAAACACTAACACACATAATCCAATAGGGAACTGCTTCTCTGTACCTAAAATTTCTGCTCACCTAACCTGGCCTTTTGCGTTCATACCGAAAATATTGAGCACTGAAATTTTCTGAAATTAGAGTACTCACTACTCGGAATAAAAGGTAACACAGATGCAGCTAACGAGGTTCGTCCCGTTATCGGACATTGGTCGTGAGACATACCACCTCACCCTTGCCGTTCACGGCGCTGCATCTGCCACCCTGGTATAATCAGGCGTGGTGGTGGCCTGGCACACACGCTCAACAAAGCAAGACAGGCTCGCCGGTAGGGACTCATGTCCTTGAGCTCACAACAAAACAGTGCATGACTGCAGAGTACTAGCAAGGCAAGTTCAACAAGGGGTACAAACCTTGATCATTTCCCATACCAGGCACATAACCCCCGGGGGGTATTCAGATGATGACAACCCCAAAAATTCTTGTGACATCTGGGCAGGTCATACACTCAAACGCCTCTTATCCGGACGCCTCAGATACGGGCACGTCTCTCTACCGGGCACCCTCAGCTTGAGTTCCTATGGCAAAAATGCTTCGAATTTGGGGGGGGGGGGGGGGATTGAACTTTTTTTCCAAATGCACAAGTGCTTATTTGTCACTGCCAACCTGTGTAATCCATACATTTTTATCCATGGATTATTTTTGCAACCTGAACATGTGCAATATGCACCAAAAAACTTCTTCAAAAATGATAATGATACATGGTAGATGAGTTATCCTGAGATACGAGCCAATCTGAGATACGGGCAGTGCCCGGTCCCAAGGTGCCCGGATAAGAGACGTCTGAGTGTATTATGTATACGGTATAGGGTGGAAATGTACTCCCCCCCCCCCCCCCCCCCCCCCACACACACACCCTTTGACAGCCTGGCTACGTTTCTGCATACCGTATTCAAGTTCATCTACAGTACGCTGTAACAGTGACACATCATTTTCACCAGACAACATGGAATCAGGAATGAGAGTGGAGTGAAGGACTACTAAGCCCTTGCCCAGCCAATGGTGGAAGCAACAACCACACCGTGAGACCGCCAAAATGAATTCAGATCATGCTGCACTCACTTCTTCTCATCCACCGCAATCATGGCACCTCTCAGATGATCACCGACACGAGCAGTCTTGCCCTCCACAACAGCACTTGTTCTAGAGAAGGACACAAACATCCAGGAAAAAAACAACGAAACAATGAGCAAAATCAGCAAAGCACCAATGGAAAGCAAGTCGATTAGCTCATGCTGAAATGCCTTTTCCAAAAATTTACCAATTTGACACCTTTTTTGCAATGATAGGGGTGTCCAGATTGAGAAAATCAATATATTACGGTATGTATTTGGGCACCTTGGAAGGGTCATGGCCCCTCGAAGTAGCCCAAACAAGGCATTCTCTAAGAAAGAGACAGGTTTGTATTGGTGACAATATTGTCGTCTCCTCGCCGTTGGTACAACGAAGAAAGACATTCACTGCATCACATTGTCTAACTGCTGGCTCTTTGCCAAGACGTGTGTGGCAAAGAGCCAACAGTTAGACTACGTGATGTCAGAAAAGCGAGTGGGTCATAGCTTGCTGAAGACATCAGCTTGAGTAACAGAGCACATTCCAGTGCCATGCTGATGGTAGGAGAGTGGCTGTCCAATAGCAGGCGGAACACATGCCGCATGCTGTTAACGGCTCTCCTCACTAAGGTGCAGATTAACGTCAGATACAGGTATTCGACCTGTGCCTGATACCAGGAGTAAATAACCCCCCCCCCCCCCCCCCGAGAGTGTGCAACTCTGCATATAGGGTCTCTCCGCCGGCGAAAACTCACATCACGTGTCTCAGTTACGCAATCCGAATATCTGCCTTCATCATGCTGGGGATTCACACACCCGCAGTGAGTTTCTGTCATAGAGTGCTTTTTTTATCACTCCGCTGCTCGCTAAGAACGGACTGGAAACATACAACTGCGACACTACACCACGTGATGTGAGTTTTCGCCGTCGGCGTACCCCATAGAAAGGGTATCAGGAGTTGCACACTCTTGAGGGGTTAAATCCTCTTGCTGACACCAACAACTGTGAATCCTACAGAGTTACAGTGTTGCTAGTTTCATCAGAATGAGTTGAAACCTTTGCAAAAGCTTGTCTGACCATTGTCATCAGTGTATAATTTATAGTATTACATGGGAAATGAAGCTACATAACTACTTTGTGCTAACTTCTGCCGCAGAACTCTTTATTTAAAACGAAGATGTGGGCGGCACAAGTATGATCACAAAACAAAAGCAATCAAAGGCGTAGTACGCACGCTAGACAAACTGACTCACTGTCCTGAACTGGCAACTACATCTCTGCTAGAGCATGACGAGTACATACTGACCGTCACGTCTTCATCCCTGCACACAGTAACACACACACACACACACACACACACACACACACACACACACACAGGAAAACAGCACAGCAATCAGTCAGAAGCCAAAACACATGACTCATGAGCCAACAAGTACAGATCTACCCTTGCTAGTAGACAAACCTGGTGGGTTCCACAATTATTGTTGTCTTATAATAAAAGTTGTATTTCTCGCCGGCCGAGCGCAGCGAGATAGACGAGAAATGATTTCTCGCGAAACATTTTCAGCTGCAAATATGGGTCACATCTGGCTGCAGCCAACTACCCTTTAATTTGTGTGTTGTCGCTATTGCTGTCTATGTCTCTGTGTGTGCCAGTATAATATTATGTGGAGCGAGAACGACTATTATCTACTATCCGGACGTGAATGTACGCGCTTCAGGCGTCTTGTAACCGACGTCGTACTAACGGGGGTAGATCTGTACGCATATGAAGGGGTTGGAGTGCAGAAGCAACACGGTTTGCAAGATGCATAGAGGATTCTCCCCAGAGCAATTTGATTAGACAATTGTGATATAAACCACTCGTTGCAGATCAGATATGCAAGACCTGGGCCAGGGACACGTTGACATCCTGCACAGCGCCCTCCACTAGTGAACAGCCCAGTGCTGGCAAGGCTAGGCCTGCACAGTACCCTGCTCTGGTAAGCAGCACAGGGTTTGCAGAATCAGGGCTGCACAGCGCCCTGCACCAGTACACAGCCTATGTGTAGTACTGGCCGGACTAGGGCTGCACAGCGCCCTGCACCAGTAACTTAGACAGCCTAGTGCTGGCTGGACTAGGGCTGCACAGCGCCCTGCACCAGTACACAGCCTACTGCAGTGCTGGCCGGACTAGGGCTGCACAGCGCCCTGCTCCAGTACACAGCCTACTGCAGTGCTGGCCGAACTAGGGCTGCACAGCGCCCTGCACCAGTACACAGCCTACTGCAGTGCTGGCCGAACTAGGGCTGCAGCCCTGCTCCAGTACACAGCCTACTGCAGTGCTGGCAAGGCTAGGGCTGCACAGCGCCCTGCTCCAGTAAGCAGCACAGGGTTTGCAGAAACAGGGCTGCACAATGCCCTGCACCAGTAGACGGCCTAGTGCTGCCCGGACTAGGGCTGCAAAGCGACCTGTACCAGTGCCACGGCCAAGTGTGTGCAGGGCTGAGGCTACACAATGCCTGGCACTCAAGAGCTTAAGGGGCTGGGTTTCATTGAGCAGTGCTGTAGTCAGTACATGCACAGTAAAACCTGTAACTAACGACCACCCTTTGGGGCCACAGAAAGCGGTCCTGAGAGTGGCAGGTGGTCGTTAGTTGGAGGTTTGCACCGCACGACCATAATTATAATACGAGACCGTCCATGCCTGGCGAAGTGGCCTGTCGTACCAGGCTGGTCGCTAGTCACGGTGGTCTTTAGTTACAGGTTTTACTGTAGTACCAGGCTGGTCGCTAGTCACGGTGGTCTTTAGTTACAGGTTTTACTGTACACCGTACACATCAAGGGAAAATGTTAACAGACGGCAGCTGAACCATAGAGAGAGAGCTATAGTACCTTAGGTCAGAGAGGAAGAGGTTGATGCGCGACACATCATTGATCTGCTCCACAAAGCGCTGAGCGTTGGCAAGGAACAGCTCGGACTCGTAGTCGTGGATGAGGTTCATGTTGATGCGATGTCGGCGCATGATGTCCAACGCACTCGTGTACTGCAAACTGCAAGCGGAGCAAAGAACACAGAGATCACGTCACGCTGCAGTGAGATCACAATAGTAGCTGCAAGATTTGCTCTATTCATGAAACAACCAAACCACACCATAAAGGACAGGGCAACGCAAGCATGCCTCTTCAATAAAATGACAAGCAAACGAGAAGTGGTGCTGTACGATCAGCTCCTTGAATACAACTATGCTTCGCGGAAGTATAGTTATAGAAGCATACACCAACTTATAGTGTTGTAGATCCTTGGTACTGTTTATTTTTTTAATAAATTATAGGGTGAGTGAGACGAGCAACTAACTTTTTCAGATGACGGCGAACAGCAGATAGCACCAAGGCACGTGGATGAATCGTCTCTAGGTTTCCACGAGGCATCTAGCATGCACGAGAGGGAGAGAAAGAAAGAAGGAAAGAGAGAGAGAGAGAGAGAGAGAGAGAGAGAGAGAGAGAGAGAGAGAGAGAGAGAGAGAGAGAGAGAGAGAGAGAGAGAGAGAGAGAGAGAGAGAGAGAGAGAGAGAGAGAGAGAGAGAGAGAGAGAGAGAGAGAGAGCGAGCGAGAGAGAAAGAGAGAGGGAAAAGGCTACGGAACATTTTCGATGCAAAAGACGACGAGACACACCAATACCAATGGTTAGGAACACATACAGTAGAATTCACTTCAGGCCTGCAACGTCGTTGGCCATCTCAAAAGTTTGTTTTCGTACTCCAGGGGGATGTCAAGAACGCAAAGGCTGGGAAAGATTGTGAATCATAAGTTATTATCAGATGGACTATCAGATGGAGTGCAAGGGCTAGAATACTGCCACTGATATACATGCATAAAAATCGTTGCACTCGTTTCGAACTCTAACGATAATCGATTGCACTCTTAACGATCGATATGCGAGTTATCGGTATAATTGTTTCAGCCCTAATCATAACCTAAAAACAACAGCGGGCATTGTTGTGGGCAGAGAACCGCAAAAACCTTTTCAAACCCCTCTTTCACAAGCCAAGCTATCATTACCATGCTATTGGCGGCGCTGCAAACGATGTGCACACTCTTCGACTTTTCACTCAACTGTATTCCGCAATCATTGGCACTTACCTGGAGAACCAACTTGGTGTCAAATGGAACAACAGCAACGATGCGAGAGCCACGCTCCACGCGCCTAATGCTATCATCCAGTTGATTACGATCAGCATCCTTTAGCACAGTCAACTCTGATAGGAGCAAGCAAATAAAGTTTATAAACCAATAACGCATTAGTTAGAGACAATAGATATCAAGAGAAAACCGTAGTATGCGTATTGTTAAAATAAAAAATAAATAAATTTCACGGTTCGCGTGAGACTCGGCTGGAAGCCGAGTTTTCCGCATCCGCCGTGGGAACGCCACCACCCTCTAGGATCAAAGGCGCAGATGCAGCGCCTAAACGGTGGGAGGTGAGTAGATCAGACCCACCACCAAGTGGTCAAAGACCGAAATCCCATTAGCTGCATCCATGTTACCCTCGTGCCAGGCCACGAGTTCCCAATTAACTGTGGGTCGCAGCATGGCTGGAAAAATTCCTTCCGCTTCCAAGCAGGACTTGAACCTGGTACCCTCTGTTTCTCAATCATGGTCTTAGAACATCCCACTATGCCTGCCTGCGTATTGTTAGGTACTGTAATTAGGTACTGTAATTTCACAAATTGTCCGTGTACTTTTATTTTCAGTATTTTCGGTGCATCCGTTTCATACATAAAACATTTCAATACACCGAACAAACACTAACACACATAATCCAATAGGGAACAGCTTCTCTGTACCTAAATTTTCCGTTCAACTAACCTGGCCTTTTGCCCTCATACCGAAAATATTGAGCAGCTAAAATTTCTGAAATTAGAGTACCATTGCCCACATTGCCTCCTTCCGCAGTCTTTCATAGATACATGGATGGATGGATAGATGGATGAGGAGACAGAGAGGGAGGGGGAGTGCGAACAACGACCACCACAAGCAACTAAGCTATGTACACTTGCCGATGAAGCAAAGTTCACACGGCATATCTTACCTGACACAGGTGTAGTGAGGCTGATGCAGCGACACGTGTGAGAGTGTGTTGTAAGCAACAAGTACTCGTCATGAACGGCAAACGAGGTGCAATTCGTAGATAACTGTATGGAGGAAAGAGGAAGAGTTGCAGAGGGACAAGAGACGACACGCAATTAACTTAGAGAACAGCACAACCACTGCATGATGGCCTTGGGTACTGGCAGATGTTTGGGAGTATGGGTAGGCAGAGGTCAGGTCAACTCGCAATGTATCACGCACTTTAGGGAACAGGAAAGTGTGCTAATGCCACACGCAGGATACATAAATGGTACAGCAATAAACCAAAGAGTACCATACTTATCGTCAGAGGAGGTGCGTAAAACAGAGGATCATGTAAACGCGAACACCCGTTGCGAAGGTAAAAGCTTCAATACAGCAACAAGGAAGACGAATTGTGTTATACGCATTTCCTCTCTTCCGACATGTATGATTATAGCGCTTAGAGATGATTGTAGGACACAAAACGAGAAGAAAGTAAAAGGACTTGTGCAGAACCATTTCCTCATCATGTGAGCGGATTGGCAAAGGTGATAGGACACAAAAAAAAACGAGAATAAAAGAAACGATTCACCAGAACCGTTTCCTTACAATGTGCACGAATTGGGAAACCTGAAAAGTGATCAGAGGATACACCCACACCTATAATTATCATGGGGATATGATAGTAGATGGGCCAAACGCACAACTTACCTCAAAGCCATTGACAAAGAGTCGGTAGTGGTCAGTGAGAGCCAGAACTACATCCTACACGACCAACACAGTACAGGCAACACACACACACACACACACACACACACACACACACACACAATACACAGTACAAGTTCAAAACCAACCAGCATCACAATACAATACTTTTTCTCTCTCTAGCTCTGGGAGCATCACACGGTGTCATGTCACTGTGTGTCGTACTGACATTCTTCTGCACAATAAACACGTCGATGAGTCGAGTGTGTGTGTGTGTGTGTGTGTGTGTGTGTGTGTGTGTGTGTGTGTGTGTGCGTGTGTGTGTGTGTGTGTGTGTGTGTGTGTGTGTGTGTGTGTGTGTGTCACTGTTATGTTCTCATGCACACCACTACTACTAGACAGCGGGAACTAGCTTGGTGACAAGATATAGAAACTAATTTTTCTAGCATGATACAGTCAGACCTCGCTTATCCGGTCCTCTTTTATCCGGATCCCTCGCCATTCGGAAGAAAATAGCTGGTTAAATATTTACAGAATACTTGATGCATCCAACATAAACGGTGTTCGGTTATCCGGCTCCCTCGCCTATCCGGATATTTTTTTGTGGAAAACAGATGTGTGCGGTTATGCGAGGTCTGACTGTACATCAGTCACCGTGGTAAGACACCTACAGTACCTACATAGGACAACAAACACACTGCTATGAGAACAACCTCGGACATTTTTTACACCATTTAACGGCACAAAGAAGCAAGGCAGCGACGAGACATATGTAATGGCAGGAGTGGGGGAAAGGCAGTGGCAGCTTGACCGACCATAGGGTCTCGTACATGCACCGTGTACAGTTGTGGCAAGCAAAATCCAACCCAACCGACACTTTCAGCAACGTGAACTGATGCTGAG